AATAGACCAGTCTTCCAAAAACCTGTTATACAGGAATTCTCCTCCACGAAAACATGCAAAAACAAGTTGAACAGTTTCATATAGGATTGAATATTGTTTTAAAAATGATTTTTATTTTTTACCTATATTTTTCAGGCGTTTCAAGTTGAAGATCTTGTCAACTCTCTCGATTGCAGCAAGGGCTGAATGATATGAGAGTATCATTTTTTTGTTTATGGGTTGCATGACATGAATAAGGATATAACTCAAACGAAGAATCTTATTCTCTAGTGAATGAAACTTGGTCTGAAATGTGAAAACATTCGCCCTGGAAGTTGATCTAGTTTGAGCACGCGACCTTTTCTTGTAAGCGATCACGTTCAATAGCGCATGCGTAATTAGTACTTTTTAATCCTTTTGACGAATTTCATTGTCTGAGCCTGCGTACTACGTGTTCTTTGCCGCTGACCGGGATTAACGCAGGCTCTTGAGACGAGTCGATTTATTTTGATTGTCCTATGTAATGCAGTCTTAAAAATTGTCGCATCGCTGCTTCTCATGCGTGTTTGAGATAGAGACTTCAAGATGTGAAAAATGTGCGATGCCCCACACGTCAACCGTAAGTCTGTGTAAATAACTTTACTTTGGTGTCAGCCCTCGAGCCTTCAAAGTCTGTCTTCCCTGTGGATGAGTTGACCTCACTGATAATGTCTTGAATAAAATCTCCAATGAACAGAAGCCCAAAGAGGAATTATTTACACTTCCGGTTGACGTCACCGTCTTAGATTTTGCACATCTTAAAGTCCCCATGATATACTATTGTAGAACCATATCTTTAACATTTGTAACTAAAGACGAACGTGACCCAAGCATCGAATGTGAAAAAGTATTTCTAGAATAAAAACATCAAGACAATGAGCACAACACGATGGTAATAACCACTATGATGTGCACCAGCACGAATCTGTAGCACAAAGCGTGATGGGAAACCGAGTACTACACAAATAAGAACAAGGAAAGCGATAGAATCATCAGGAAAAAATTACTCTGCTGCTTTTGTCTTCTAAATTCTTATAGTTTCATAGAAAATGTCGAAGGTAAAATTGCCAGAGGGATTTTTAGAGGAGTTGAAAAACTGTCAGTACTCGGTTGTTCTCATCATGTTTTGTGCTAGAGATTCGTACTTGTGCACATTGAATTACGGTAGCTATATATTGGCCTACGGTTTTACAAAAKTAATTGGCAGATTCTCCAACTGCGATATTTCGCCCCCTCTCCTTCCTATGAATGGTTATTTGTTCCTTTATCATCACGTACTTACTTACATTGAACATAAAACTTTAAAACATTTACGGTTGCTATTATATGTAGCAATGAAGCAACGGAAGCAAAGGTGCTAAATAAAAACAAACACTTGAAAGGTTTTCCTTTGACTCAGCTTACAGTAATTTTAGCGATTTAAGCACGCAAATCTTGCAGGTGCAAATTTACACGATCACGGAATGACGGCCTTGTTTATATTCATTTGGTTAGATTTGTTTTATAAACCTTTAAACAATTACTTTCTGTAAGGTCACAAATGATGCGCGTGCTCGAGCTCATTGCTTTGATGGCGAAGTCTTTCTTAGGCCCCGTTCACACTATGCCGGATAAATTTGAATCCGAATTTTTATTTATTCGGTTAGGCCTACCGTCCACACTAGCCCGGGCGAATCCGGAACAATTCTTCACCGAAAACGAATTTTCGAAATGGAACCGAACAAATAACAATTCGGATTCAAATTTATCCGGCATAGTGTGGACGGGGCCTTATAGTTGTAACGAGTTTTCATAAGTTACCCTGAAGATGACCGCGTAGGTCGAGAGCTCGGTAAATTAACTATGAAATTATTCAAAGGTTGGTGAAAAAAATCTAACCAAATAAAGTTCAACCCAATCTACTAACATTTATTTGACTTGTTTATATTGTTTTGCATTATGGGGACATGGCTTCTCAACGTGATCTGGTATAAAAATTCTCTGTAAATTGCCTTTACTGGAAGAAAGCTTCAAAGTTTATACCCTGAAACAACCTCTGATCTAAGTAAGGGTACGGCTATGAGTCATAGATTGAACCCTGAGACAACCTCTGGGCTGGTCTATGTCAGAGCACGGCTAACTCACAGATAGAACCCTTAAACAACCTCTGGGCTGATCAAAGTCAGGGCATGACTAACTCACAGATCAAACCCTGAAACAACCTCTGGGCTGATCTAAGTCAGGGCATGGTTAACTCACAGATTGAACCCTGAAACAACCTCTGAGCTGATCTAAGTCAGGGCATGGCTAACTCACAGATAGAACCCTTAAACAACCTCTGGGCTGACCTAAGTCAGGGCATGGCTAACTCACAGATCAAACCCTGAAACAACCTCTGGGCTGATCTAAGTCAGGGCATGGCTAACTCACAGATAGAACCCTTAAACAACCTCTGGGATGATCTAAGTCAGGGCATGCTTAACTCACAGATCAAACCCTGAAACAACCTCTAGGCTGATCTAAGTCAGGGCATGGCTAACTCACAGATCAAACCCTGAAACAACCTCTAGGCTGNCCTGAAACAACCTCTAGGCTGATCTAAGTCAGGGCATGGCTAACTCACAGATCAAACCCTGAAACAACCTCTAGGCTGATCTAAGTCAGGGCATGCTTAATTCACAGATCAAACCCTGAAACAACCTCTGGGCTGATCTAAGTCAGGGCATGGCTAACTCACAGATCAAATGATAATTTAGCGGACGAGGGAGGAAAACCGGAGAAAAATCCTCAGGAAAAGACCTAACAACAAACTCTACCCACATGTGGCTCGAACCAGCGAACCAGCAATGGCCCGGCGAGGGGCGAAGGAAGACCCTGCGTTTTGGTGGAAATGCAATTCATTTCAAAGGATACGACTACTGAAAACCTTGGAATGTAACTTTTGTATTTATTAAGAGGAATGCTTTTTCAATGATGAGCAATAATGGCAAAAAGCGCCAAAAACTAGACTTTCGTATGAGTTTTGAGCCCAATTTTCGTTTTGGGTCAACACTCAAAACCTTTTTTAAACAGTTAGAAACTGATGTACTATGATAAAATGCCTGTTTGAGGCGGTATTTTCAATTGTACAAAGATGTTTTGTTGCATTTGTGTTAGAATGTTGCATTGTCAGGCTTTTTAATAGAAAATATATGGGAAATAAGCAAATGAAGGCCTAAACCTCATTTTCGATCATTCAATTTTTTGCGTTGGGTTAACACTTTGATTCCACCTTTATCGGTCATCTCCACTTCCAAACAAGTTAAACTTTCTGAATAACGAGATTTTAGCCTTGTACAACAGCCTTTCTTCAAGAAAATAGTTTTTGGCGCTCACTGCTTGAATACGAAAAGAATTATCTCTTATGTGAAATATCACCATATTTTATATACATTTTCTACATAGTATAAAAATGATATTTTTAAAGCAATTGAGTTCGTATGAATACTTTATCTATTATATTTGGTTTAATACCTGGATCAATGGTAAATGTACAACATCTTGACACTTAAATGGCTTCCTCATATCAACCAATCAAAAAGCACCTAGTTATTTATAAATAACTAAATCGCATGAAAATAGGATTCGTAAAAGGATTTTTAAAAGGGAGTTGGTACCGGTTCAAATACCTTTTGAGTTATTGGCCGCTGCGATTAAACTGCGCATTAAAAACGCTTGCCAAATCAGGTCACACCGACGGAAAGGCGTATACTTGAAAGTATCAAAGTGGGGTTCAACGACTGTACCTTCTTTTMTTTTAAGAAAAAAAATTTCAGAATTGAATAATTTCTTTGAGTGTATCATAATCCTATTTATTTGAATCCAGGTGTTCAAAAATGAATATAGGAAAAGTATCACTCCTGCGTAACTGATTTATTGAAATTACGACCTATAGTAAAATATGAACTAAACTGGCATAAAACATATGCAGTACATATATTATCTACTGAGCTTGTAATGCCAGTGTCAGTGTAAGAGTATAAGATGCGAGTACGTATACATGCAGGATAATGATTTATTTAAAGAATAGATTGAGTTGAATCTTGAAATGTCGCCTGGTCGTGCTTCTGTCGAGGTTTTGCAGAATGTTAAAAAAGAACCTTTTAATATCGACAGCCTCAAAATTGAGCTCATCAGAATTCACCTTTTCGGCGCTAGCCGTCACGCAGCATAAATTGTTTTAGATTGTGTTACTGTCACCAAAAAGTTTGGACATTGTTCTTGAATTTCCGTACAAATGTACTGACTTAAATTTAACTATTTACTTGGTTTGTTTAGTTAGTTCTCTAAATACAAGTAAATAATCATTTTTCTAGCTTGACTGAAGCTTTTCTTACTGCTGTTAAGAGAGCTAACTAAAGAACTCTACCTAAATTTTCTCTTTTAAGTCAGTGAATTTGTATGGGAATCTGAGAACGATGTCCAAACTTCTTGGTGACCGTAACACAATCCAAGCTAGCGCCGAAAAGGTGTGATTGCCTATTCTTAAACCCGCTACATAAATCAACCAGGTGATTGGTAGAATTGGTAATATTACCAGAAATATTTTTTGTTGTAAGAGAGCGACTTCTTTATCCCATGGCATCCATGTTGATTTTTCTAGATTTTTCACACGATAAGTTTTTAATAAAGCATTTTGGAATATGGAAGCCATCTTTTCCTGTTGTTCAAAGCCTGATTGGTTTAACAAGTTTGATCACCGAGTCGTTATTCACATATAAGGTTCAATGCTATTTCTGGAGAATCAAAATGGGTGATCATCCTATCCCAATCAGAGTCCTATGCCTGTTATGACTGAATAAATGTGTCATATGCCTCTAATAATGATTGATGATAACGATATATTTTCATAGCGACCCACAAGAGCCTCGTAACAATACTTAGAGTTGCATTCTATAAAACTATAATCTATCTTGTCTAAAGTAAAGCCTCTTTTTTTAACATGAATACCTGATGTAAAAGCTTGAAATCTACTATCTTATCTACATACTGTTGCTTAGAATGCGATTGACAAAATGTGTTGAACATTTGCCATTTTTGACCATTTGTCGGAAATAAAATATCAAGGATAATAATTGAACGAAGCACCGAAAATCAGCACTAACTTCGAAGTATCAATACAAGTTTTTACAGATTTACAGTACGCTCTTTTTTAGTTTTTGGACAATTTTCCCGCCAATTTTCGGAGCCTGCGCAGTTCGTTGTTCTAACATTATCTTGCATTTCGAATAGCAATCTTTGTTTTGATCATCAAATTGCACTTTCAACTGACAGAAGGTTTTTACTTTGGGATTCCAAGCGACATGTAGTATCGTTATTGCAAATACTGGCCCAACTTCTTCTGGGAATCGAATTGTTTTTATTTTTGTTGTTATTCTTTTCGGAGAAAAATGCATTGCTCTCAGAGCCGACAAAACTGGGCAGAAAACTGGAGCGGTGGAAACGAATATCATTGCCTCCACGTCTCCTTAGAATCTTCTCTATCGCGTGCCTGAAGTCGGGTTTCATAAACGAATAGAGTATAGGATTCACTAAAGAACCAAGTGCGATCGTAAATGGCGAGATGTTTAAAATTTCCTTCGGGACGATGCCGGGGTTGTTAAAAACAAAAGCTCCGCTATGGATGAAGACGGGGAACCAGCTCAAAATCAACATGGACGCAGCTATCGCGAAGACTTTCGCTACTTTTGCCTCTGTTGAGATCTTTTTTGCTCTGTGTTTTGAATCCTTTACGTCCTGACGAGGGGCTTCCGTCGAAATACTAAGTTCTCTTTCTTTCTTGACACATTTTCGCACAGTCATAAAAATCCTCAAGTTCGCGTAGATGATGATTGTGAACGGCAAAACCGCACAGAAGAAAAACGTAAAAAATATATACACTTTGTTGATTAGCAGATTGATGTTTCCCTTCCATGCGAAGGCCGGAAGGCTTGCAATTGTTAAGGAGAGCGTCCAAATCAAAGGCAAAGATATCTTGAAGAATTTAGGGATTACAGTTCGATATGAGAATGGTCTGACAACGGCGAGATAGCGGTCATAAGTGACTGCACAGATGTTCCACACGCCGCAGAAGAGGACAAGAGCGTAGAGAATGTTGATAGCAATACGCGATTGGTAGTGGAGCTCAATAGTATATTGGATGATGAGAGTTACTCCCGTGAGGATGTCTGATAAAGCTAGAGAAACGACAAACCCGTTCGTGTATGTTCGCATGTTTTTGATCTTGAAAACCAGTAGACATACTGCGATGTTGGTCGTGACGACAAGGAATGAAATGATGCTCAATGGCACCATCACTTCTGTGCTGAAATCACTCATCTTGTACCGCGTCTCGCAATCCCTTCTCAGTAAAATACAACAGAAGTTCTTCTAGGGCTTTTCTTGATTATTAACCTGCGAAGCGTCAAAGATAAAAAATACATTAAATATCTATTAGATTACCTTCTTTTTTCTAGCTCTGTTTTAAATAAGTCGAAATGCATCAGAAAAGTTATTCTTTTCATATGCCTATGTGTTGTCAACGTTTTGTGATAAAAAAGATAGAACGGAGCGATAAGGAGATTTTTGCTTCAAAAACTGGTAACTCTGAAGAAGAAATAACTAATAAATGTTGACAAGTTGGTAAAGTGTGTGAGATGCTAAAACACAAGAAATAAGCGATATAAGGACCAAATTATTAGTGTAAGAGGAAAGGAATTCCCAGTTCCATGACAAAGAAATGGGAAAAACCGACAAGTGAAGAAATCGAATCAGACTAGAATATGGCCTTTGACCTTTAAGAGGTGGAGAATCTAAAGAAAAAGGAATGAAAAACAAAACTTTGAGAGAAGAAAATTATATGTAGAAAAAAGGCAAGGGAAAAAAGTATTATTGCTAAATTTGTACATGTAAAAATGAATAAATGAAGACTACAAAAAGAAAAAAAAAGAACAGATTTTTTTCAAAACAAGTTTCAAACATGTATTTTGTCATGGCCGCGATTTCTAGGTTACATTATCCCAAAATATAATAGAACTATAAACATACTCAAAGTAATAAAATGATAGAATCATTTGTATAATTCTTAAAATAATTGGCAAAGATATCGCAAATGAATACATCCCGAAATTCGTAAACATCTTCAACTATTGAGACCAAAATTTCTCGCGAAATTGAGTGATCTTAAATCGTGAGGGGGAAAATAATTTTTTTTCTTTTTTTTTTTTTTTGAGTCGAGAGTCAAATTGTTAAATTTAGCAAATATTTTCGTCTTATTCAATTATTTTTAATCAAATTGTTTGAGCTGATATCATACATTGGCAAACCTTGGTCTACGAATGTGTTGAACTAAACAAGCAAAATAGAATGTGGTTTCTGAAAAATCAAATCAAACCGAGCTTACCAAATAACCGAGATTAGATTTCAGAATTATGCAAGAATCATGTCCAAAATATTGAGCTCAAAACATAAGAAATTAGGAATATTGGGGTCCGAAGTTGAAATGACGCTGAATCGTGAACAATCTTTGTTTGTTTTCGAGCGATAGMAACATATGGTCCAAGATTTTTGAAGCCGGATTTTCCTGTTTACTTTGCGATACATTTGTGATATAGTAGTAATGTGGTTTATTCTGTAGGCATGAGTTTTTTTCAGTTGCTTACCTTTGTATTTTCAAAGACGGGCGATACTTTGTCAGGCTAAATTAACGTCAAATCATTAATAACTGTACTCTGCGACTTGTTACCTCAAGATCATGCGAAAAGTGGCCTTATTTCTGCTCTCTTGCGAYGTTATTAGTAAATTGTAGTTACAAGATGGTGCGTCGGTTCTGATTCGTTGCTTCGCCGATTCGTGCGTCTCAGGCCCAATCGAATTGATCCTGTTTAATATCTCTTTGAATGAAGTAAATATGATCTTTCCAGGGTGCCAATACCTTAAAGGTGTACAACTGAACCTTTTTTACAAATTCGCATTCTAAATGACTGTAATTGCTTTACCGATGATGAATCTGCAAGAAGTTGCAAATGTTATTTATCTTCTTCCGAACAGCTGTCCTGACTCCAAGAAGTACCGGACAAACCTTTTTTATTTTGGCAAACTCCAAAATACTTCAACTAAACGAGGACACTTCAAACCAGACAACAATTGTAAACAAATTTTTATCGCTCAAAAGCTTGTTGATATTTCGTTGAAGGTGGATGTCTCAACGTACAGAAGCTAGTCTTGAATGTATTGAGAGCGAGCTGTTTTAAAAGCGCACATAACTACCACATCAGGTCCAACTGTTATGAGGATCCAGAGTTACGTAGAAACAGAACGATTGTCGTCATGCACTGTGCGACTCTTGTTCGTACGTGATAGAAAAATCCCACACTTATTGCCACCAGTAAGATCCAATTATTACCCAAAACAAATGTCCAACAGTTATGGGATGAGAATAAAGATTATGCAGCGAGAACTGATGCAAGTAGGTCAATATCCCAGAAACCACATATAGGAAAAGAGCGGTGGGGTTTATTTGAAGTAGGTAGGCATTCACGTCCGATACAAGAAATACTTATCTTGGATTTCGTTCTGAAGTCGAGTTATCAATATTGTATGATTTTTGGTCGGCACACTCCACACGTCATTTCAGTTGTGGTGATAAAGACAACTGTTCGAAGCTGAGAGCAAAACCACTGAACAGAATTAACGGTGTTAAGTATCGGTATAGGACCTCGGAGTTTTGCTTTGCTAATTGATGCAGCTCTGTGGAGAGAGAGAAAAGATGGTTTTTAAGAAACACGAAGATCCCTAACACCTTTTCGTCAAGAGCCCAGGAGTAATCATAGTACGTCGTAAAGAATCTCACTGGATTAAACGTAATATTCCTGTTAGAATACATGCGAGTCACTTTAAGTACTTCGAAATCAAATGATACTTCATTAAAATGTAAATCTTCTGAAAAACCTGGCGCCCAAATACTGGATGTATCGAGTAATTGAGAAGTCAATAGAGAGTTTTTAAGCAACTTTCTACTTCAGTTAAAATTGTTTATAATAAAAGTAATAATAACTGCCGTAAAGAAGCCAATTGTTATAAAGATGTTTTGAGGTTTGGTTGATTTAAAAATGCAAATGATCTTCCTAGATTTTTTGCTATAAATTATTTACTTTCATAAGGAGACCTTCAAAGCCTGACGGACAACGGTATAATATTACTGACTAGAAATCAAGAAAATRAGTAGTTCCTTTGAAGTGTTTTGAGTTAATGCTTGGCAAATAATGGTAAGGATTGGTCATTTTTGAAACAGTAAAATATCAAGAGATGCTTGATAAGGATTATTTTCATCTGACTTTGATGTAGATAATATAATTAAGGCTGGCTAAATCAATCAGTTCGCRATAAATGGTTTCACAATCTTCGTGCCACAGACTTTATAAATGAAAAGTTGAATACACATTTAAAAGTTTGGCAATCAAAAAGTATTTTTCTCACCAAAAAGGAATGAAATCTAAAGGTTTTTTCAAAAATGGGGGCGTAGTTGGTTTTGAGATGTTTAACTAAGTCAAATCTTCTTCCGTTTCATAATAATTTAACCGATTAAATCCTAAATACGACTTGTGTTTGAGTGACCGATCAACATCAAAGATAGAAGTCCTCTTTCGATAAGCACAATCAGTACTCGAGCTTATTTACATACATTAAACCTGACAGAAAAACTCGGCAGGTTAAACTGGCGGGAGTCCTCGACCCGAAAAAGAGACTAAGAAAAAAGAAAAAAAAAAAAAAA